GACACTTTACATACAATGGAAGCTGCTTTCGGCTCAAAAGCTATGGGGCAAAAAGAAAATTAAATCAGAAATGGGAAGCTGCTTCCAAACCTCTGCCCTTTGGAGTCTCTTTACAAATGTCTACCTAGAATAAGATTTGTGGGGGTGGTCTGCAAAAGGAGGAGTCCTTTTCATACAGGATGCAACTCCCCCTCCCCTTTTCAACATAGGAACATTTCTTATGCCAAGTGGAGCCACTGATCTGCAGCCTCTCTCTTTGAGACATCTGGAACCTTCTGGCATCCTAGTCCACACACCTTAAAGATCCAGAGGTTGAGAAACACTGCTTTAAAAGATCCAAAAAAAAAAAAAAAAGGCTGACACCAACAGAAAAAAGATAGATCTGTACCAGAGTCCAACCTTCCCCACTCAACCTAGGACTTTGGACCTCAAAGAAACCTGTTGGGGAGAATTTCAGCTTTGGTGCTGCACCCACCACAAGCACAACTATACTTGCTAGCAGCTGTCAGCCTTACAGCAGCATAGATGCAGCCTCACATATCTGTAACGGATTATATGGCCACCCATCTCATATGCATGACTCTGTACCGCTAATATGAAAAATAATAAAATACATACACACACAACTATATACAAATCATGAGGCAAACAGTCTAAATCATTATTAAAGGTAGAAATGCTACTGACTGGAGCTTAAATCCTGGAGACTGAATCCATGCAGTTTTCTTACCAGTAAGTTAATGATGGGCAGTGTGAAAGAGCATTCTTTTGTCTATTCTAATTCTCCTCCTAATCAGCTTAATTGGATGATACCTGGAACCTAATGTTTTCCACCATTTTTTTTTTTTTGGCTTAAGAGTGCCAAACACAAATAAACCTATCCAAACCCCCTATCATTTAATGGCTGCATTTGAACTTTGTCCATCACTTCTATATCCTTTTTTCAAATAGGATGACCAGAACTATACACAATATTTGAGATGCAAATAGACTGTAGAAGGGAATAATGGTTTTACTTCCATTCCTTTCCTACTGATGCCTAACATGGGATTTGTCTTTTTTTCAACTGCCACAGAGTCAATGGCTTCACTGAGGTCTCCGTTATCACCCAAGATCTTTCCCCTGCCTACGTATGGCTCAGGCCTCAACAATGTGGATGTCAAGTTAGGAACTTATGCCCCAGTACATGTCACTTTCAGTGTTCTTCAAGGGAACTGCACTGACCACTGAGTTGACTGTTCATTCTCTTTCAAGAAATTCTTCTCAAATTCCTCACAATCACTTTTGTTTTCACTATCTTGAGTACTTCAATATCTGCAGTGTATTGTCGAAGGCTTTCACGGCCAGAATACGATGGCTGGTGTGGGTCTTCCGGGCTGGGTGGCCGTGTTCTGGAAGTTTTGTTTCCTAACGTTTCGC